TCTCTCTCTCTCTCTCTCTCTCTCTCTCTCTCTCTCTCTCTCTCCTACTCTCTCTCCTAATCTCTCACCCTCTCACCCCCTTTCCCTCTCTTGTGATGAGACCAACGCTAAGGCCCTTTCGCTCGGATGAATTATTTTGACGACCTTGGCGTTGAGTGCAAACGAGTGAAGCGATGATCTGAAATCATATGTTTGGCGATGGAAGGGATTTTTACCCCGTTTCTTGCTTGCTGCGCACTCTGGCCGATTGGCTGGTTGTGAGATTATCTCCCTGTTTGTTGTTGCCTTTGCCGAAAGGGCGCCGCTAAAGTCGCGGGAAGAAAGCGAGGGAAAGGCGACGAGCAAGAAGAAGATGAGAGATGGAGGCGAAAGGAAGGAGAGGAACGGCGTGGCTGGGGGAACTCGCGTCGACATTGTAGGCCCTCCGCTCCAACGCGCCCTTTGTTCAGCAGGAAAGCCGCGGCAACCTCAGCGCCCGCCCGGGCGGGGCCCCGCTCGGAGGCAGGCGGGCGGAGGACCTCGACGAGGAAAACGCGTCATTTCATCATCATCTCGAACCGGCGAGATTGGTCCCAATGCCTGAGCGGATAGTAGATATCTCGAAGCGAAAGGAAATAAAGAAACCTTCCACGTCTTCGAGAACGTGGAGTGAATTTGTTTTTCTTTCGTCGAATGGGAGAAATGGACGCACAGGGGAACATTTAATAAGTGCAGTACAAATTTCGTTCATATAATTAAAACGGGATCGTGTTTTAAATTAGGTTTTCTGGGTGCGTAGACAAATAACTACTTTGTTGAAATCTAGTTCCACTAACCTGAGCGGACTCCACTTCTCAGAGTTTTAATTTTGCTCGACCCATTAGCTAGTTTATAGTCGCGATTAGCCCGCTGACCCGAGCCCCTGGCACCTGACTGTGGGGGGACTCGGGCCTTGCTGGGGCGCCGGGAACCGGAGCAGGGCTGTCTGTGACTTGAATGGGACGCGCTGGAGCAAACAATTGCTGTGAAGGACGATGATTTTCCTCCAAGGCTGTAAGCGGCTTTCACAAGACTCTCTCTATCTCTCTCTCTCTCTCTCCGCCGCCCACAACGCCCTCCAGCCTGGGGCCCGTCGCCGCCTCGAAGTTCAGATACTTTTGAGCGAAGCGGGCGGCGAGTGCCGTCGACTTCTCCTCTTAGCAGCAGCAGGGCGAGGCTTAGGCTCTTCTGACACTTAAACGCCACTTCATCACGGCAAGCCTTGTGTGCATGATGTGCCTAAGCCAGATCAAGTCCTTGTTGCCACACCATATGAAAATTTTGCACGCAGCTTTGGCTTGCTAATCCCCTCCCGCTTGTTCTCGGTCTGCAGCGCCGCGCTACGCTTGCTACTTTCAGCTCATAGCCCACAGCGCCCCCGGCCAGCCCGCCGCTACCGCTGTTCTAGGAGGATCGCTCTGTAATCTGAGGGGGATCAGATATGATCATTTGGCCAATACGGCGACTTCGACAAAGATCAGCAATGATCCCAGCCGGCTCTGGCTAGTAGTTTCGCAACAGGGAGCGGGAACGGGATTGGATTTTTGGATACGCTTTATCGCAAAGTCTCCGGTGCGCGAGCGTCTCCGTTCCAGAAGTGGGTCGTTGTGGTGAAGGGGATTTACTGCAGTAACCAGCGGGGGGCTTTTGTGAGGACGTGAATTATACACACATTGGAGTACTCTGCAAAGTGCAAAGTACTACAATACATCCAATCTCCTTTGAGGATCTTCCTAAAAATTCCGACTTGCGAAATTTCCAAATTGTGTGTGCGCGTTTTTCTAAGCCTGCTGTTAGGGTGTGAAGCCGTAAGCATCGGCAGAGGAAGGGGCGTGGGGTATTTAATTTCCCCAACTACGTTGTGCTCCAAACTTGCTATTCTATTAAAGTTCATCCCAGTGGAAGCGTCCACATCGCATTATGAATTTGAGGCGGGGCGGGCGTCACTCGTGTGTGCGTGAGAGAGAGAGAGAGAGAGATAAAGAGGTTGGTTGCAGTTATGCTGCCCTCTGTTCAATGAGGGCAACCGCGAAGTGCAAAGAATAAACTAAAACACTGGAACACCGCTGAAAAACTTTAATCCACGGACTGCACGAGCGCACAGACACGCACCACACACACACACACACACACGCGCGCGCGCTCAGTTTTTTGTAATAATATTTCGCCGGGTGTAACAAAGGGACGCCTCCCCTCTCTCTTTTTCCGCTTCGTCGTGAAAAAGAGTTTCATTTTGTCGCGTCGACTCTGCCGTCCTAAGCCATGCTTTTCTTTTGTTCCAGGTGAGCGAAAACAGAGCTGGGAAATCAGTCACCTGCTGCCGCGTGCTGCTGGGACAGGGGCGCCCCTCCTGGCCCGTCCCAGCCTGCATCGCGGCTAGCATGCCCTGCGACCGGGCTGGCAGGTGGTTTGGTAAAAAAAAAAAAGCGTTAGGCCCTCGTGCCCTTCTGTGTGTGTGCGACATTCTTGTTAGGAGTTGGACACGCGACACGCTGGGGGGATTACCCTCACCGCAGATGCTCAAACTGCTTTGATATAGCGTGATGTACTGGGTGTTCTATAAGAAACAGAATTTCTGAGTTTAGGAATGGGTCCTGCGTATGCAGTGGTAAAACAGAGCCAATAATTTGCGTCACTCAAAGGTGCTTATCGTTATGTGCCTTTACAATAGTCACTATACTCCTCTAAGATGCTAAATTTAGCACCTTTTGCACACGTTGGTGCCTTTTAATTTTTTGTTTATTTGTAGCACTCCTTAAAAAGTCGTGATTGTCAGGTTCATTTTTCCAGGCTATGTGCAGAGCCCGTCGGGGTGGTTGGGTGGTTACGCCCGACTTGTATCGGGGGGCCAACATCGTCGGGAAGTGAAAGGGGGGTGGAGAGGGGGCCACAATGCGGACAGGAGCAACCAGGGCTTAAGACAAATCAGCAAAAGACGCCGCTCCGAACCATGGGCGCGCATAGGGTGGGCGGGGAATAGATAAAATGAGGGCTCAGTGGCAGCGCCCCGCCCGGCCCCGCCCGGCCCCGCCCGCTGCACGCCAGTGCTGTGGAGGGGAGCAGCAGGACAGTAAGTCGCGTTGAGTTATAAGGCACCTTGTCCTCGGGAGCTGGCAGCCAGCCTCGGGGCTGTGCGCCCAGATACGGACTGCTGGGGCTGGGCATATAACCCGGTTTGGAGGGTGAGAGAGGAGGGAGGGAGAGGGAGAAGAGAGAGAGAAGGGACGCCGCACCAGGGAGAAAGGTCTGGGCTGCTGCTGCTCGAGCACGCCTGCCTGTGCGGGGGTAAAGAAGCTTTAAACTTTTATTGTTACCATTATCATGTTGTGCAACTTCCGTGTTCATAACTAGGCTAGGCTGGTCGTAAGTAGAGGGAGAGAGACAGGAGTAGGAGAGGGGCCAGGCCCGTGGGCTCGTGCTGCTCGTTCATGGAAATGTGTCGGGGACGGGGGAGAGACAGAGGTGAAGAAGGCGAAAGAGGAGCTACGAGGTGCGGCGCTACACGCCAGCACAAACGGCGCCCCCCAAGTGCGCGATTCGCAGATGAGCACCTCCATCCACCGACACCTCGGCAAACCCGGGGCCTCCGGGGGCGCAGTGCGCGGGTTGGGGCTGCGGGTGCTGCATTCATCTGACTCAGCTGACATCTGCCGCTCGCTGCGGGGCGCGCTGTGCAAATGCTGATGTTCGCTCGCTGGGTGGTATTTGACTAGCAGCTACCTCCGCCCTCTGCGCCGTGTGCCCTGAAAACACGAGGGTATGGGACCTGTGCTTTATCCACCATACCAAAGAGGAGCGCCTAAAATACATCGAATTCGCCATGACCGCACGTACGACCACGACTGCTTCCACCTCGTAACCGTGTAACCGCCAGATTGCGAGATATAGTATGAGAATGAAATGGATCCCAGAGAAGGAGAAAGGATAGTGCGGGGCGACGGCGACAGCTGACAGGTCACTGACTGCGGTCCACCGGCGGAGTTAGTGAGAGGCAGTGTGTGTGTGTGTGTGTGTGTGTGTGTGTTTGTGTGTTTGTGTGTTTGTGTTTGTTTGTTTTAGGGAGACAGAGGAGTCCATCCCCACACCCTCCCCGTCTCTGCTACTCTTTAATCTGGGCTCAGCCCGGGCCGGTTCGCTATCGGAGTTCGCCCGCAGACTCGCGCCTAGGCCGCCCGGCGCGCTCGCCTGTCCGAGGGGTTGCCTATCGCCGCGGCGGTCCGCTGAGCCGGAGGATGTAAGCCTGGCGCAGAGGGGCGGGGCGGGGCGTGTTTGACAGTTCGTATCCCACGGCACCGGCGTCCTCCGCGGCGGCCGCACAGCCCACCCCTCTCGGGCGTACGAGCCTCGTGCCGAACATGGTACTGCACCAGATGCGGGTGTCTTCGGCGAGGAGAGAGCGGCTGAGAGGGCGGTCCGATTGGGGACTCTGTCTCGCAGCGCAGCGCTGCCTTCCCGCTCACCCCACCCGCATCCTCCCTCATCTCCTTTTCCACCCTCACTCTGCACACTTTAACACGTTCCCTTGCGGCATGACCACTATGTGGTCACGCTCCCATGTTAAATCCTAGGGACCAAAAATGTTCCGCAGGAAACGAGTTAACAAACAGAAGTTTATGTGTATCAAGACCTTCAAACATTTGGCATTGCACGATAGATAAAAGTGAGAATATAGCAAACTTAATCGTTGAAGCGCACGTCGTCAGGCTGCACAATTAAAGGAGCCAACGCTTTGTCTCGTTTTTGTCGTGGCTTGGAGTGCAATCAGGGTGTTGTTAGCCTGCGCTGTAGATATCTCTCTCTCTCTCTCGCTCTCTCTCTCTCTCACTCTCCCTCCCCTGTTCTCCCTCTTTACCCTCCCTCTCTCCTTCTCTTTCCCTCACGCCACAGCGGTCGCGGCCTGCCCCCGTTCGCGTACCGCGCGCACCCCGACGGATTTCAGGGTTTACCCCGACCGCGAGCGGCCGGGGGAGTTGTTGTGGGGGGTGAGGGAGGGGGATGTTTATGAGGCAGGGGCGCTATTAACGCATGCTGTGTGTGTTGGCGCCTCCCCCGGACCCGCGGCACAGTGCTCCAATGGGATTACAATAACGCGCCTGGAAATGGTTGCGCCGCGGAAACGGTCCGAGCCGACCCGTTGGCGTGGCGAGGCGCGAGCTCGCAACGGCAAGTATGTGTCCCACACGTCAAACTGTTTACACACACTGTGTGTGTCCGGCGTAAACGACGCAGCATATGTCAAGTAGCTAATTTTGTGTGTGACACACAAAAGAAGATGAACTGGTCCTCAGAACTAAATATTAGTTAACACTTCGAGACAATCGATCAAAAAGGTTGTTCAGGTAACTAATAATTTGTTGTCAGAACCAAGATTAAGTTGCTTTGTTGTGCTTTGTTTTAGCAACTAACTCATAGCTCTGACAACACTGAATATTCGTAACCACAGATAATATTTATCGATCATCCCGAAATTCGCACATTCGGAATCGTTTTTTGGTTGTTTTTTTTATTTTTTTTCATTTATTGAATTTTCTATTTGCAAGTTGACCTCGCGCTTAGCTCTCGGCCGATTCGTTACCAACCCTGTCCTCCCCCTGGTCCGGTTGAGCTAGCCAGCGGAGCAGCGGAGGCTGCTAGGGAGTCGCATTTGTTTATACCTCGCGTAACAAAGCGGAGAAGCCGTGGCGACGGCGCAAAGGACCTGCGAAATGCCCTGGAAAGGGTCTTGAGAGGTCCTGGAACGGTCCCAACGTTTCGCTGTGGAGATGGAGATCGAGATCGGACTCCGTAATGAGTGTGTGTGGCATTCCTGTCGGACTGTCCGTCCTGTCCTCGGCTCGGATATTATCGAGGATAGTGCCGATCCGATTGAATTTGCGATCGATCGGGAAGTGGGCGGTCAAGGAGCCTCGAAGGCCGTAGTGTGCGCCTCTAAGTGAAGTACCCGTTGAGCGAAGACTGAGCAGCGCGAGTGTACCCCGGGCAGGTCATTAGTCAAGGTTGGGGAATGGGGCGGGACCGGGAGGGCCTAACTGGAGGGACGGAGAAAGAACGCGGGGCGAGTGGGGATTGTAGGGAGAGTTTGCAAGATAATCTACCGTGGTGTTTTGTTTCCGGGGTGGATTTCGCTCGCCGTCTGTTGCCATTTGTCTGTCATGTCCCTTTTCCCGACAATTCTTTGTTTTGTTTTACTTCTTTTAAATTTTCGTTTTTTAACTCTTTTTGAGTGGCCTACAGGGCGGTAAGTGGATAGGGACAGGTAAAATTTCAGGATTTCTCTCTGGTGCTCTCGCGTTGTCTCCGGTCATTCCCCTCTTTGCGACAGCGACACACATTCCTTGAAAGGTCCCGCTCTGACCCGCTGTAAGCCTTGTGTGCGCGCGCGCCTATTTCCCCAAAGGGTTTTACCCCTGTTTCTCCCTCTCTCCCTCTCTCTCTCCGTCTCCCTCCGTCTCCCTCCCACTCCCATTCTGCGAGCGGTGGCGGCGGCGCTGCTCTGAGTTATCTCGGTCTCGCTGAGTCTGCACCTTTTGCCATAAATGTGATTTGCGTTTTTGCGGGCCCACGTGGTGCGAGGCGGGGCGGGACCGTCCCCCACCCCCTGGCGGCCCCGAGCGCAGCCGGTCCCGTGAGACGCACACCGGTGCCACGGTACGGTCGGCTCTGTCGGTTCGGTACGCCACGGCATAGACGACCCACCGAGCCGCCAACCAGGCGTTTTGTCAAATTTTTCAAAATAATTTTGATCCATTCCTACTACAAAAATAAATAAATCAGGGCATGCTGCATCGCGGGACATCTCCTTTACACGACAGGGTCACGGTAGATCCCGGGCGTTTTCCTACCCCCGTTTACCTTGCCCCCCTCCCCCTTTTCACCCTCCATTTTCTAATTGCAGATTGCTCTGTGCTGTGCAGCAAGTCTAATTCAATTAGTCGGGCGCGCCGACTGTCGTGTTTCTGTTGACGGTTTTGTTGACGTCGATTCTTTTCGCCCCCTCCCTATTCTCTCTCTCTCTCTCTCTCTCTAGCGCCATATTGCTGCTGCTGCTGCTGCTGACAGGCGCCGTGCGAGAAAAAGGAGCCGCTTCTACTGCTACTGCTTCTGCTGCTGCTGCTCACACCTAGTGGAGAAATATTGTTCCGCTGCAGCAACAGCTGGGGTGTGGTGGGGCGGGGCACGTCTGGGAGCCGCTGCGTCACTTCATCGGCCTGAAGCGAGCGAAACTCTTTTCCCAGGTCGGCTTTCGGGTAGGGGAGGGGGTGGCGTGTGAGCAGGGGACAATCGCCCACGACAGATGGGGAGGCAGGTGGGGGGTCAGCGCGATAGGAGGCGCCGTGACAGATCCAGGTGCCGAGGACGGCGGCTGGAGAGAACGTGGACACTGTTCGCCGTGTGGGGTAGGCAGCTGCATTGGGGGAAGTTTCGTCCCTGAATTTGATCGAAAGTGTTATAGTTTTTAACTCTGTTTCTGTTTTAACCTTCTTACAAGTAAATTTTCGCCGTGAGTTTCTGGCACTGCTCTGAACAAGGGGGGTGGAACTGGCCAAAAAAGCGGACACATGATTGTGTCTAGATTGTGACAGTCATTGTTTCAGACTCAGTGTGATTGTGTCGAATGTTTGTCATTGATTCAGATTGTATTGCTTCTGTGTGCTTGTGCTTGAGTATGATTGTGTGATTGTTTTGTGTAGGATTGTTTATGATTGTGTGTGATTGTTTCCGATAGTGTGTGATTGTTTCCGATAGTGTGTGATTGTCTCTGATTGTCTGAGCTTGTCGGATAAATATTGTATATATGGAAAATT